TCAAGTCTTCACCTGCGCTTTTTAGGGTTCAACGGTCCTCCGTACTCTGCCCCACTGCTCCAGAGTGGTATTCACATATAGCATCAGCTCGGTGCAAGGGGGACTCGGGGTTTGGCCGGTTTGGGGCCACTGGCTGCAATAGATCTAACCCGATTAGCTTTTGGAACAAGCTTGAATACGATTCACTAATAGGGGTGAACTGATTCTTTTTGAAATGCTCTCTTGGGGGAGGATTGTATTGGGGATCATTTGGTTGAGGATTATATGGAGCTTGGTAAGGATGGGCATTTATGGGAGATGGAGCTCGGTTTTGTGTATGATGTTGTGACCGCGTGTAAGATTGCACGTTTATCACTGTATAAGGAGGTGGCGCCACGGCATAAGCAGCATCTTAAAGGGGATAATAGTGTGGGGGGACCATAGGAGGCACATATGATTGGCTGAATGACCTGCGGGGCCCCCTCGAGCTTGAAACCATCATGGCTCCCTCTTCACTCACATTTTTGTTCATCAAACTCTCCAAACCGTTCTAAGCAGCTGGTGATGTGGCCTTAAAAGCAGCATGACTCAAGATTCGACCTATTTTTAAACCGTTTTCAACCATTTCTCCAATTTTGATAGCCTCAGCGAACGGCTTACCCATAGTGGACATCATGTTCTGGAGGTAGTCCGCCTCTTGGGCATGTAGAAAGACCGTGACCATTTTAATTTCGTCCATTGGAGGTTTTACCCTAGCAGCTTCTCCATGCCATTTTACAATATATTCGAGGAAGCTTTCTGCCGTTTTCTTTTTCAAATTGGGCAAAAAGTTTCTGTCAGGGGAGATGTCCACATTATACTGGAACTGGCAGACAAAATCTCGGGCCATATCGTCCCACACATGCCAATGAGTAATTTTTTGATCCGTATACCACTCAGAAGCGATTCTGGTGAGGCTTTCCCCGAAATAGGCCATTAGCAGCTCCTCTTTTCCACCAACGGCTCTCAACTGGTTATAGTATCATTTCAGGTGAGCGACCAGGTCTCCATGCCTATCGTACTTTTCAAATTTTGGCTTTTTGAAGCCAACTGGAAAGTGGACATGGGGAAACATACAGAGGTAAGAGTATGAGATACTCTTTTGGCCACTCAGACTTTGCATGTTTTTTAGGCTTTGTTCCAGGCTCTTCATCTTCCGAGCCATTTCCTCTTGCTCAGGATTTTTAACAACCTTTACTTGTTCCAATGAGAGATCATATTGCGGAGGTTGAGTGAAAGAGTACAGGGTCACATATGTTATTTCTGGTTGAAGCTGTGGACCCTGAAGGTGAACATTGGAGGCGATGTCCTTGAAGCCGGTGCCTGGGGACGAACCACAGAAGGCATGCCAGGATCATTAGAGGGTATTGGAGGGTGCCCGCATGGGATGAGTGGGTTAGCCACAGGGGCGTTGGTAACCTCGCCTGACCTGGGGATAAACTCAGGAAACTCAGGAATTGCACTTGGCGGTTCCCTACCACTGGACTAGGCGACCCACAGTTCTGACATGCGGAGATACGACATCCTATTCTCTTCAGCAGCTGCTGATTCTAGCTGCAGAATAGCCAATGCCGGGGTATCCACAAGACCGATGATTGGTAGATTGCTTGCGGAGGCCATCTGTGCCTTTGGATCTTGTGAAGGAGGGGAGGCTAGACTACCAACAAAACCTACCACCAAAACCTGGCTAGTTTGGACACCCAACAACCATGTTACTTTTGAGACATTTAACATATAAGAAATCGCACGTTGGGATGCAATGCACCTAACAGTTAAACGCTTCTACCATGTGTTTGAACGGTTGCATGTTTCATCCCGGCCTTAACTAACTTTTTCAGTATGTACCTCTTTTCTTTTATTTCTGCATCTCTTTGATCACTCTTGATTTTTTTTTGTCATTTCGTTTCTACAACAACAACAACCCAGTAAAATTTTACTAGTGGGGTCTGGGGAAGGTAGTGTGTACGCAGGCCTTACCCCTACCCCGAAGGAATAGAGAGGCTGTTTCCGAAAGACCCTCGGCTCAAGAGGACAAAAAGGCAAAAGGAGACAAAATCAGTAACACCACAGAAATAATAAGAAAAATAGGTAAAATAGGGAAAATATGTAAAATAGGAACTAACATATAATCCAGAAGAAAGATATAGAGCTGAAGTGAAATAGTATCCCAACCAAACTAATCCCACAAAGTTATGACATTTCGTTTCTATCACTCTTTATTTTTGGCACTCTTTTTTTTTGTCACACTTTTTTTTTACTTTTTCTTTCTTTTTCACTCAATTTTTTTCTTGTTTTTTTTTTTGGTTTATATTTTCACTCAATTTATTTTATGGCTGTGATTGAATCCGATGGGGGTTGTCTACGTATCATGACACCACATGAATCAGATTTAGCGTAGTTCAGGAAGATTGAGAATAGAGTGAATAAGCTAACTCTTTTTTTTTACTTTTTATAAAACTCAGACCATGAAAGCTTTAAGACAGGAGAAAAATATTTTTTATTTTTGATATTTTTATTATAATTTTTTATATTTCTTTTGGAATTTTTTAAAAAAATGCTTTAAAAGAAGAAAGTAAATATTGTTTTTGGATTTTTCATTTTGATTTTTCTTTTATTTTTGAAAGAAAGACTTCTAAAAATTTCTTTTCTTTTGATTGGAACTTTGGGAATTTCAAAAGTAAAAGGAAAATATTTTTGTTTGAATTTTCATTTGTTTTTCTCTTTTTCTAAAGAAGAAAGAAAAATATTTTTTTTGGATTTTGGATGTAGCCTCTTAATTTTTGGAATATGGACTTCTAAGAAAATATTTTAGATTTTTAAGTTTTTTTTTTTAAAATTTACAAAAATACTTCTAAAGAAAAACGAAAATATTTTTGGACTTCAATTTTTAAATTTATTTTTTTTGAAAGAAATATTTTTAAACAGGGAAAAGATTTATTTTCCTTTTTTCTGTTTTTTTTTTGGATTTTTGGGAAAATACTTCTTAAAAAGGTAGATTTTTTTTTTTGGATTTTGATTTGACTTGTGGATTTTCGAAAGAAGGACTTTTAAGAAAACATTTCTGATTTCTGAGTTTCTCTTTTTCTTTTTTCTCTCTTTTTTAATTTAAGAAAGTACTTTTAAAGAAAAGTGAAAATATTTTTGGACTTTTATTTCTCAATTTTTATGGACATATACAAAAGAAAAACTTCTAAAGAAAAAAAGAATATTTTTGGATTTTTGCTTCTGATTTTTTTTTTTTTGGAAAAATACTTCAAAATGAAGGAAACCCGTATTTTGGATTTTGATTTTTTTTATTTTATTTTTTATTTATTTTTTCCGTATGAAAGACTTCAGAAAGAAGAAAACTACTTTTTGAGTTTTAAATACTTCTCTTTTTTTTAATTTTTTAAGGAAAGATTTCTAAAGAAGGAATTAAAGGAAAATATTTTTGTATTTTTGAAAATTGGGTCGGAACCGATGAAGTTTGCCTACGTATCTCACATTCAGTAAGAATCAGACCTGCGTAGTTCAATCAGTTTTGACATAATAAAAAACATGATATTTACTCACTTTTATTTCTTGAAATACATTTTCCTTTTTTTCTTTTTCAAAAATTTTGACGGAGTTTCGAGACATTTTCAAATACCAGAATTTTCAGAACCGGGTAAATTCTCTATCCTACCTCACTCTTGGTTTTTCTCTTGATTTTCTTTTCCTACCCGGTCAACATGCAAGTCGAAACAAATAAATATTTATATAGCACGTAGGATGCATCAGGATGGTCGGTTGTTTTGGGTCCACCTGTCCTAGACGGACTCAATCCCTATGTTGAGTCCCAAGGTCAAATGCACGTGATGCAAATAAACATTCCTACTAGCAATCCATCACGAGGTTACGTTATTCTAAGTGTAAACCTAGGCTTGTGTTCTAGACCTGGCTTACCCGAGCGAACAAACTCAAGCCGAAGAGGGGGCAATGTACCAGGAGCACGAAAGTCTGCCCCGCCTTGTTGCTGGCCCAGCCTCGTTCTATTTGGTATAACTTCTAATAGAAAAAGTGGGCCACGCGAAACTGTGCACCATTTTTTAGAAGACTCAGAAGGGAGGCATAAGAAGACATTTAAATATAGTTCAAGTAATATCAAAGCGGTAAATAAATGACAATTATCACATTAGGTACATAAAATATAGTAATATCAACAATAAATAAAGTCAAGTAAAAATCACATCAACAAGCTCGAATTCTTGAACCCTGAACCAGAAGTTTTGGGTTCTCTATCCCCAACGGAGTCACCAGAGCTGTCACACCTCCTTTTTACCACCCGAGAGGGGGTATAATATAGTTTTTCCAATTTAAGTGACATTATTCGAAATAAGATTATTTTATTCAATTTTCAGAGCCGCCACTTGGAATAGTTTAGGGTGTCCCAAGTCACCGGTTTATTTTAAAATCCCAAATCGAGAAAATTTTCGACTTTATTTAAAAGTCTGCGAACCAGAAATTCTAGATAAGGAATTCTGTTAACCCGAGAGAAAGTGTTAGGCATTTTTGGGTTCCGTAGTTTTAGCACGGTCGCTTAGAAATTTATACTTGGATTATTTTGTCTAATTACTAATTTTAGGACCTATGTTTATTTTACCCTTTACCGCTATTAATAACTTGATAATCCGGATTTGAAGAATTAACTTAAGATGAGTTACGCGTACATATACTCATTTCGCTTAGTGCGTCAAAAATTATGTCACGCGTATGTGTCCACAATTAATCATATTTTATTATTATTAAGAAAGCTTGGTTGAAGTTGCGCGAACACATACCTCAATTTATTTTTGAAATCATAATTATGTCACGCGAACTTGTACACAATTACAATAATTTAAGCCGTGCCTAAAAGCATTTCTATAAGTGTCTATTTTTCTAAGTTTAAAATTTTGCATATCATCAACAAACGTAATAAGTTTAATGCAAGAGTTACCAAGTAACAAATCAAGATTGTATAATTAAGTAAAAACTTGCCTATTAGCATGATTTTTATTCACAATCCCCATTTTTTCTTAAAGTGAAAAAAGAACAACAAGAAATTATCTATTTAGATCAGCTTAACCAACTTTACATGAACTGAATCATCATACTGCAGTGTAACGTGTTTAGATATCACAGATGAACACGCATAGAAATACAACTTCCTATATCTGAGAATGGAATCTTAAATTATGACAACATAATGCAGCAAAAGTATGAACCATCCATGTTTATCAACATATTGATACCATAAGTAGTATTCAATTAGCAAACAGATTTATTAAAAGGTTGGAGTAACATCCCAAAGAGAAGGGAAGGAACAAAAGTAAGGTTTTCTGCACAAGTGCATTTAGTTTCCATTATGTTTGGTTCAAGAGTGACTCCACCAAATGCATAACACATTAAATCACTCTTTCATGTCTTACTTAAAAACCACATAGTTCCATATTTTTTCCCCTACAACAATATAATTTTGCAGTTGTATTACTTCACATTAGCTCTAACCCTTTTATTCTATCAAGAAAATTCGAAAAAGAAGCTAAAAAGATATTCTACTAACAATATTTACAAAATTAAGCACACTACACACACACTGTCACACACTCATCAAGCCACACACATTTCGACAGACGGAGAATTGAGAATACACATTTTGTCTCTGCATTTTAAACAATAGACGATAATAAGGATTTCATGAATTTTTATAATCAGTCAAACAATTCTACATCTACTTAAATTTGATATTTCATAGGCAAAAGCAGACACTTATGCCTTTTTGAAGCAAGCAATTAAACATTCAATTTGTGTTCAAAGCCAAACAAACAGTAAACTTATACACTGCAATAATTAATTTCAAAGAAAAAAAAAGGAAAGAAAACTCATACTTCAACATAGATCAGAACTAAAGATACAAGTGAAGAAGTATGTACCTAGACTTGTAGCTGAAAATGAGATGCTTTCCAAATAAAGGCTAAGAAAATCTCCACTAAGATAACTTCAGCAAGGTCAACAGTAAGAACAGTGCAGAAACAGCTTTGTTCTTGATTAAATGTCCATTTGAAGAAACAGAATTGGTATAAAATTGCCGTAAAAATGACAGCAAACTGAAAACTCACTTTTATTATTTTTTGTTCTCTCTTTTTCTCAGATTTTTCTATGATTTTTCGTTGCTTTTCAGATCTGGAAACTCAGATTTTCTAGTTGTTGTGGCTTTTCCTTTTTCTGTCTTAGACCTCGGCTTTTGCTGCTTTTGTGATGCGTGGCTGCTCCTCGGTTTCTTTCAATGGGAAGGTTTTCTGATTGTTAGCTTCCTTTTGGGTGTGATTTGGAGAAAGATCGAAGAAGAAGAAGAAGAAGAAGAAGAAGAAGAAGAAGAAGAAGAAGAAGAAGGGAGCTCTACTGTAAAATGCGTCGTTTGCTCTTTTCTATAGAGGAAAGTATCTGATTCTCTTAGGTCTTTAGCTAGGTTTTTTAATTAAAGGGGATGGTTTTTTTTGGGTCAGGCGGGTCAGAAGATGGGGTTTTTGTGTTGGGCAAGAAAGAGAAAAATTGGGCTTTTAGGAATTGGCCCAGACCAAATATTTTATTCATTTCCCTTACTTTGTTTCTTTTTTTTTTAATTAATTAAAATCCTAAATCAATTTATTTTTGTAGAAATTAAAATTCTTTATCTATTTTTAACATTAAAACAACTAATTAACTTAAAACTAAGGAAAAATGCTAATTTTAAAGGCTAAAATCTAAATATGTAAAAATGACCATTTTTTGTGATTTTTTGCTTAATAAAATAAATTCCGACATGCAAATTTAACCTAAGATGGCATGAAATTAAAACGCAACAAATTTTATGATTTTTCTATAATTTTAAAAACATTAAACATGCATGAAATGCAACTAAATAAAGAAAAACTCCTAAAAATTAATTAAAATTATTTTTGGTCTATTTTAAGGAGTTATTAGTATGTAGGGCAAAAATTAGGTGCTCACACGACGCCGCAAATGCGAAAAATCCATCGCAGGTGCGATTCCCACTTATGCCATTAGAAATCGCTTCTGCGATCACAACCCCGCACCTGCGGCCCCGCCGGTGCGATCAAATCCCCGCACCTGCGGTCAAGCTTCAACTGGTCCAAAACCGCATCTGCGGCCTTCCTCACGCATCTGCGACCTCGCACCTATGGTCCTAAATTCGCAGGTGCGGAAATAACAGAAGCAGCAAATCTGCAGCAACACTCAAAGCCAAATTCTCCCGTAAACCACTCAAATCCATCCCGAAGCCCTCGGGACTTCAACCAAACTAGCCAACAAGTCACATATCACATTTCAAACTCATTACAACCTTTTGAACTCTCAAAACAACACGAAAATATCAAATCACCCTCAGATTCAAGCCTAAGGATTTCCAAACTTCCGAATTCCGCAAACAATGCCAAAACCTATCAAACCTCATCCAAATGACCTAAAATTTTGCACATACATCACAAATGATACCACAGACCAACTTCAATTTTCAAAATTTCATTCCGACCCCGATATCAAGATTTTCACTACCAACCGGAAAACGCTAAATTTCCAATTTCGCCAATTCAAACCAAATTCTACCACGGACCTCCAATTTACCTTCCGAACACGCTCCTAAGTACAAAACTATCCGATGGAGCTAACCAAATCATAAAAATCCAAATCCAAGATCGAATACTAAAATGGTCAAGACTGAGTCAAACCTCTCAAATTTAAGCTTCAAACCGAGAATCATCCTTCCATATCTATTCCGATTAACCTGCAAACCAAAACCGATGATCTACATAAGTCGTAATACATCATATGGGGCTAGTCATGACCGAGAACTGGCAAGCAAAGTGCAAATGCTCAAAACGATCGGTCGGGTCGTTACATATATACATTGGAGAAATTTACACATTTTTTGGACTGGTATTCCAGTCCTAGTCTACCTAGTCCCTTTTATTGTTCGACCTGGATAAGTATTCGAGAGCTCGAGCAATGAACTTGCTAACTTATATTCTCACCTACTTATGTTTAACTTCGAAATATCCTCCTCGTCGCCTCGTTAAAATCCTCCCCGAGAAAACCCAATTGGGATAAAACTCAGGTGAGGGAAAAAAATTACGGCTTGGAGAACATCTTTCCTTAGAAGTTGAAGTACTTGAGGTGGATGATGTTCCAGTTGTTTGGTAGTAATTTTTCTTCCATCATTTCTAGTTGGAACGACCCTTTGCTTGCTGCTACCATAATTGTTTATGGGCCATCCCAGTTAGTCCCTAGCTTTCCTTCTCATGGATCCTTGCTTGCATGTGTTTTGGATTTGAGTACGTAGTCTCCGACTTTGAGCGATCTGATATTGGCTTTTTTGTTGTGGTATCGCTCTGCTTGTTGTTTCTAGGCGACCATCCTTATATATGCCATGCCTCTTCATTCTTCGGCCTCGTCGAGGTTTTGCCTCCTACTTTCATCATTTCTCGGCCCGCTTTCGTATGAGTACCTTAGACTTGGTTCTCCGACCTTGACCAGTATTAATGCATCAGTCCCATATACCAGTGAGTACAGTGTTTCTCCTATGCTTGTTTTTGGTGTTGTACGATATGCCCATAGCACTTTCGGCAACAACTCCGACCATAGTCCCTTGGCATTCTCGAGCTTCTTCTTCATGATATTCAATATTGACTTGTTGGAGGACTTCGCTTGCCCATTGCCCACGGGATGATATGGCATGAGGAGTATTCTTTTGATATGCCATTTCTCGAAGAACTCAATGATCTTTTTTCTAGTAAATTGAGGCCCTTTGTCACAACTGATTTCTTTGGAAAGGCTGAAACAACACACGATATTCCTCCATATAAAGGTGATCACTTCTTGCTCGCGTATTTGGGCAAAAACACCTACTTCCACCCACTTGAAAAAATATTCAGTTAAAACTAAAAGAAATCGTACATTACCTCGTCCTGTTGGAAGGGGTCCGACGATGTCCATCCCCTATTTGATGAAAGGCCAAGGCGAGGTGACTAAGTGGAGGTGCTCGCCTACTTGGTGGATCATGAGGGCGTATCTTTGGCATTGTTCGCATTTTTTATGAAGTCGGCAGCCTCTTTTTTCATTATGGGCTAGTAGTAGCCTGCTCGTATGAGGCATCTGACTAGGGCTCGATTGCCGGTATGAGCTCCGCAGTGAACGTCGTGGACTTACTCTAGAACGCACCGCATTTGGTTTGGGCCTAAGCATTTTTCTAGGTGACTGCCATATGTTCTTTTGTAAAAGTCGTTGTTGATGACGCTATACCTGGCCGCCTGCATTCGAAGCTTCTTTGCTTCTTTTTTATCATTTGGAGGCACTCCATCCTATAAATATGTGACAATACGATTGCGCCAATCCCAAGTTAGGTTTATAGTTTGTACCTCGATTTGATCAATCAACGAGTGGAGGAGAGTGACTATATTCCCTTCTCCAGTTATGCTTTTAGTGGCTGCTACCAGTTTGGCAAGGCCATCTGCTTCGATATTCTATGCTCGAGGGATTTGGTTGAGCTAGCATTCGTCGAATTCGGGTAACAACTTGCAGATCTCGACCTGGTATTTTTGCAATTTTTGTTCCTTGATTTGGAAAGTTCCTGTGATTTGATTAACGACGAGCTGAGAGTCGCACCGTAGGATGACTTGCTTCGCTCCGTACTTGAGTGCTAACTTTAGCCCTATAATCACGGCCTCGTACTCAGCTTCTTTGTTAGTCATATCTGGGCATCTTATGGACTGGCGAATTACTTCACCTGTTGGGACCTCAAGCACGAGTCCCAGTCCTGATCCCAACGCAGTAGAGGCTCCATTGATATACAAAACCCATAGGTTGTGTATTTTGGGGGAAGTATGGGCGGCTTCCTTTTCAACTTCAGGCATTATTTTTGTGCTGAAGTCGGCGAGCACTTGCAACTTTATCGCCGTTCGCGGTTGATAGGTTATACCGTGCTCGCTCAATTCTATGGCCCAATTAATTAATTTGCATGACAGTTAGAGTTTATGCAGAATACTCCTCAGGGAAAAGGTCGTGACTACCGAGATGGGGTGGCATTGGAAATAAGGTCTAAGCTTTCGTAAAGCTACGACTAAAGCTAGGGATAAATTCTCGATGTGTGGGTACCTTGTCTCGGCATCAACCAGAGTTTTGCTAATATAGTAAATGGGAGATTGCGTACCTTTGTTTTCTTGGACCAGGACCGTACTCACAGCCACACCGGATACGGCCAGGTAGATGAGGAGACGTTCCCCAGGTTCCGCCTTAGCTAGCAATGGGGGTGAAGATAGGTACGCCTTTAACTCTTTCAAGGTTTTAACGCACTTAGAGTTCCATTGGAGTCCATTATCTTTCTTGAGTATGCTGAAACATTTATGGCATCTGTGGGAGGACCGTGAGATGAATCTCGATAAGGTGACTATGCGGCCAGTCAGCTTCTGTACTTGTCTCTTATTGGTTAGGTTCTTTGGTATTCCTTATATAGCTTTGATTTGGTCAGGGTTGACTTTGATGACTCGTTGTGATCCAAGAAACCGAGGAACTTTCCTGAGGTTACGTCGAAGGCACATTATTCGGGGTTCAATTTCATACCGTATCGCCTCAGTATGTCGAAGGCCTATTTCAAGTGGTCGATGTGATCCTCTTTCCTTTTTGACTTGACCAACATGTCGTCAATGTAGACTTTCATGATTTTGCCGATCTAGTCTTTGAACATTTTTGTCACCAACCTCTGATACGTCGGCCCCGTATTTTTTAGTCCGAAAGGCATCACTCTATAGCAGTATGTCCTCTGGTGAGTGATGAAAGTGGTATTTTCTTGGTCTTCTTGCTCCATGAGGATCTGGTTGTAGCCCGAGTAGGCGTCCAAGAAGCTTAATAGTTTGTGCCCGACTATTACGCCAATGAGTTGGTTAATATGGGGTAGTGGCAATGAGTCTTTTGGGCAGACTTTGTTCAGATCTTTGAAGTCTACGCATATCCGCCACTTCCCATTCTTATTTTTCACCACTACCACGTTGACGAACCATTGAGGGTACTTCGATTATCTGATAGAGCCATTTTCCAGTATTTTTTCAACCTCCTCGCGGACTGCATCATTTATTGCAGAGTTGAATTTCCGCCTAACTTGCCGCACTAGGGGGTAAAATGGGTCAACGCTCAACTTGTGTGTTGCTATCTCTTTTGGGATGCCCGACATATCTTCATGAGAAAAGGCAAACAAGTCTGCGTTGTTAGCTAAAAATTAATGGAATTTACCTTGTTCCTAAAGTTTGTTGCTGATGTAGGCTTTTTAGGGTGGTTGTCTTTGTTGAGTTATACGAGGTCAAGATCCTCTACGGTCGACCCCGTGGCTTCTACGATTTCGGGGTCCCTGATGACATCTTTTCCTTCATCATCACCTGACCTTGTTAAT